TGGCTCTCAAAGAGAATTTTATTACTGTATTGGTCACACACACACGTTCTCACAGGCAAGGCAACCCAAGTTCCCAGAGTAGCTCCGGCTGAAGACAGGAGCCGCGGCGTGTGTTAGCCGGGCTTTCCACGCAGGGGAAATCCTCCGGCCGTGGAAGTCTCTAGGCTCCAGGGCCCAGAGTCCGGATGGTCCCCAGGATGTTGAGCCGGTCTGCAGCCAGGGAGCAGGCCTGCCAGGGAGCAGGCCGCCGGGTTGTGGGAGGAAGAACCGGGGCGTGAGGCTCGGTTCGTGGTGTGCCAAAGTGGAGTGAGGAGGTTCTGGCTGCAGAGCAGTCTGAGCGCAGAGGGGGGCAGCGAGCTGGACTCGGAAGAGGAGCCTCCGGCAAGTCCTTCGCTCAGAGCCAGGTTTGGGGCTGCTCCGAGACTGCGTCACGAATCCGCTTGTCCCACACATCCTCGTCAGGGTGAGGCTCAGCACCAGCTGTTTTCATCATCGTCGACACTCAGGATGTGGCCGCAGCCACCTTCACTCACGGCGCTCGCAGGCACCTTCACATACTCTTAGTTTCACTCTTAGCCTGTGTATTTATCTCGCTTGTGAGCTTTTCATGTTCCTTGCATGCTTAACCCCTTGCACCATTTTCACTGTTTTTTTTTATTTTTAGCTATAACTATATGAAGCTTGTTGATTAAAACAATAAATATTGTAAAAATTGAAAGAGGGTAAAATGTGCTCATTTGGACTGACAAATGAGTTCAAGCTAAAAATTGAAAACTCATTGAATGGAATTCAGGTGATGGGGTTCAGTATGGGGAGATTCTTGGATCCTCTCACAAATAATTCAGTAATGTTCCCTGTCATCAGCACAGGGCAAGGTGATTGAGGAAAAGAGCAGGAAAGAGAGACGTCTGCATAGACACAGATAGACTCTGAAAGAACAGAAGCTGCATCTTGCCAGGGGAAGGGGTGTTCTTTCATGATGTTCTTTGATGGAATGAGTGTGGAAATTATCGCCTTGGGTCAGAATGCATTGGTCTTCTAAGTTTGATAATCCTATCTGCCCCCACCTCTGGCTGATCATCTTTTCTGACCCCACCCTAGATTGCTGGAAACTTTCATAGTTGGGTTAGTAAAGATTTATAAATTGTCCTTGTCATATCTCCCTCAGTAAACAAAACAAAACAAAACAAACAAACAAACAAAAAAACAAGGTGACCTAGACACTACTGATATGCAGCTGCTCTTCCCAACCCTGCTTTACTATCAGGAAGGTCATATTTTCACCCTTAGAAATTTTTCTGTAACAGCAACAGAATTTTTAAGGCTTTCTTTACAAAATCTATGGTTACTTTTCACCTGCGGAGGAGCAGGGGGGTAATTGCACCAATGATTGCACCAATTTTTAAAATTGCTTTGGTTGACTGGCTCTAAACTGAAAGGGAGCTGTGTACATTGTGGAATATTTGAACATTAGAATAAAATAAAATGAGTAACAGTGAGCTGTGATTTTTCCTTAAAAGATAAGTACTTTTAGAGTCTAGTGGTACAGGAGGTAAAGTCTCAGCGCTATAAGCTATTTACAGCCACTGTGGCCTGAGTTTGCTCCCCAGCCAGGGAGTTGACCCACAAGGCACAGCGGACCTTTCCTGTTTCTCCGCTGCTCCTCTCAGCAGTGGGTTTCAGTGGATCCACCTGTTCTGATCCCCACTCTGTCTCTGGTGAGTCCTCTTGCAACAGGGTGGTCCCCAGGAAAGGGGGAGGTTCCCTGCCCCACCCAAGGGAGGGTGGAGCTGAGCAGGAAGAAAAGAAGCTGCAGAAGAGACTGAGGAAGGAAGCAGGATGGAGCAAGGAGACCTGGAGGAGGCACATGGAGCCTAGAGACATGTGAAGAATCTGCGCTTGTCTTTTGGGTTGTGGACTGGGTGACACAGATGTGGGTGAGACCCGTGGGGAGGTGACAATGGCAGCTTTTATCTGGATGTTGATTTTGCTCTTTTCCTTCCGGGCTTGTCCGGTTGTTTGTGACCCTTTTCTGTGGGTCCCCACTGGAAGATGTTTTAGACTTGTGGCAGGCTTTGGGGCCTTGCTCTGGGCCGACCCCATATGGATGGAGTTTTACCCACGAGGGGATGGGTAACTTTGGGTGCTTCATTTAGAAACTAGACTCTTTGCCTTACCTGTATTGTTTCCTAGTTTTTATTAAAGTTCCTTCCCATTAAAGCGTCATATGTTTTGTGTTGATGCGGCGGATGGCAAAACCCATTTAGAATAGGCAGGTTTGTAGGGGTCTGGGGTGCCCCTCTCCCTGTCCTATAACAGATTTGGCGCCAACAGGGTGGTCCCCAGGAAAGGGGGAGGTTCCCTGCCCCACCCAAGGGAGGGTGGAGCTGAGCAGGAAGAAAAGAAGCTGCAGAAGAGACTGAGGAAGGAAGCAGGATGGAGCAAGGAGACCTGGAGGAGGCACATGGAGCCTAGAGACATGTGAAGAATCTGCGCTTGTCTTTTGGGTTGTGGACTGGGTGACACAGATGTGGGTGAGACCCGTGGGGAGGTGACAATGGCAGCTTTTATCTGGATGTTGATTTTGCTCTTTTCCTTCCGGGCTTGTCCGGTTGTTTGTGACCCTTTTCTGTGGGTCCCCACTGGAAGATGTTTTAGACTTGTGGCAGGCTTTGGGGCCTTGCTCTGGGCCGACCCCATATGGATGGAGTTTTACCCACGAGGGGATGGGTAACTTTGGGTGCTTCATTTAGAAACTAGACTCTTTGCCTTACCTGTATTGTTTCCTAGTTTTTATTAAAGTTCCTTCCCATTAAAGCGTCATATGTTTTGTGTTGATGTGGCGGATGGCAAAACCCATTTAGAATAGGCAGGTTTGTGGGGGTCTGGGGTGCCCCTCTCCCTGTCCTATAACACTCTCACCTCCTGCACCTCTGGCCTAGACCCCAGTTCTTGTGTGTACAAAAATAAATCAATCTTTTTAAAATAGATCATTTTAAGAATTAACTTACTTTCTTCCACATAATTTCCAATATTTTGAACTGTGAACTATAACACCCGTGTGTAAGGGCAGAGACTATAAGTGTGAAATTTTAGAATTACGAAAAGGAACACCCATTAACTGGGTGAAGAAACCTAAGGCCACATTATATCATAAGCTCCCTCCCCAAGTAGGCAGGAATATGTGGCTGTCATTATCATCATTTCCCTCGCCCTTCATGACAGCTCATCACCTAAGTGTGTATCACTCAATGCAGACATAACACGTGATTTCCATTTTGTCTGAAATTTAAAATTTAAATCAGTCCTATTATGTTATATCTGTATATCTGGAATAAGGCTATGCCGACCATTTTATATCTTTCCTCCTTCATCTAACATTACATCACAAGTCTTTCCAAGTCATGTGAAACTATTCAGAATGACGGTGCCTCGTTGCTCCATTGGTCTCACGCACATAGTGCTACAGAGTTCACTGTTTCCTGGGGTTTTGACTGAGATTGTTTTCAGTATTTGTAAGTATGAGAAAATGCTGGTTAGCAAGTTTACAAATAAAGGTGTGTGTGTGTGTGTGTGTGTGTGTGGAAGCGTCTCCTCAGGTCACGTCTCAAAACCTGAATGACGACTCCTTTTAATGCAGACACACACACGTGTAACATCCCAAATGCTGGCAGCTCAGTCCAGAAGCGCGACACCACCTTGTTCTCTTCCCCGAATGCGCGAGAACCCCTATTTCAGCGGGTTCTTGCCTCCACGTCATTCTGTCTCCCCATCTTCAGGGCTCTGACGTCACACACTCCCGCTTCCTGCTCCCCCTCTGCGCGGGCCCCACCACGACTCTCCGGGGGCTGCGTCTCACCCTCCCCCGCCCGGCTGACCTGCCCTCAGCCTCGGCTCCGAACCCCCTGCAACTCCAGCAGCCCCAGCGCCTCCTTCGCCCCTGTCCCGCCTCGGCTGCACCGCCCCTCCCCGCCACCAGTCGGCGAGCGCCGCTGCTCTGTCCCTGGTTTCCCCCGCGAGCCTCTCCTTCCTCGTCTTTGCCCCGCCCCCTGCGTGGTGACGTCACGGCACTGCGTGCTGACGCCACAGTGCATTGGCGGGAGCGGAAGTGGCCGTGATACGCAAGCCAGGAGCGCCCGCCCCGGCGGAGCAGGCCCGCTGGTGCAGGAAGGAGAAGCCCCGGGGCGGGGCAAAGCACAGGAGGGGGAGCGCGCGCCGCCTGGTGGTGAGGCGGGGAAATGCGGCGTCGCGGGAATCATGAGGAGACGCCGGGGTGGGCGGCGGCGGGGCGGGCGGCGCCGGGGCGGGCCGCCCCTTCTCTCACTGTGGGGCCGGCGGGTTCGGGGCCCTCTGTGGCCGGGTCCGTGTCCCCCGCGTGTCTGTGATGCACGTGGACACGATCTGCTGGTTTACTGGCTGCGGAAATTCCAGGTTCACAGCGTGTTCAGAGACGTGGGCTCTTCGCCTCCGCGTCCGCTTGATTTTCTAAACTTCAGCCGCAGCAGGACGGGCGGGGGCGCCCCATGAGCACCCCGGGGCGACCCGCTTGCCCCCGGGCCTGGAGGGGCCCCCTACACCCCTGCCCCCGCAACCCCGCCCCTGCCCCGCCCCGCCCCAACACTGGCTCCTGCCTCCCCGGGGCCGGGCTCGCCTTGGCACCGGCTTCTCCGGACGTGGGGTGAAGTCCTTGCCCGCGGGACCCGGTTTCTTCAGGAGCCGCCCCAGAGCGAGGGGGGGCGAGTACGTCTCCCGCCGGGGTGCCTGCAGAGCGGTGAGTCGGGGGCCCCGGGCCGGGCGGGCGGGCTGTGGGGAGTCTGCGCGGGCCATTTCGGGTCCTGGAGGAACATGGGGGTCAGGACCTTCCTGAGTGTGACCTGGGGGTGCCCGGCGCCCCCGAATGAGAGCGCGTCCCCGTGTTTGCTCGCGGCTCCTCCCTGCTGCACTGATCACCCCCGGCTGGGTTTTCTGGGCTCCCCGTTCTGTTCCGTTGATCTGTGTGTTTTATTCTGTGGACTAGAATATAATCTGGGGAATGCATTGTACACTATTCTGGGGCTGACGTTCCCCTCCGCACTCCAAACCAAAGCCATCAAGACATCGGGAATGAGAAATCCTGTCACCACCAAAGGGAAGGTTGCTGGGACCAGAGCTTGGAGTCAAGCAGCCAGGGTTGGTATAAAAACCAAACACGTGGGTCTTGGGGTCTCTCTCTCACTGGCCTCCTGGCTTCACATCCCCTGTCTTGTGGCCAGCTCTCAGAGTACCATTTGGGATTCCAGGTCGGTGGATCGGTCCGTTGCATTTAAGACTTTATCTCCCACTTTTCTCCCTGAGTTGTACATTTCCTCATTTCCCCTTCCCTTGTAAATAAACCTTTTATTAACCTTTTGTGTTTGCCTGCTGTGGAGTATTAATAAGTCCCTTTTAAGCGCACGGGTGAGGACCCACAGCCAGGCAACCCGTTTTGTATCAGGGCTTCCCTGGAACAGTTCTGCTCCCCACTCTGTCTCTGGTGACTCCTCTCACCCCACTGCACCTCTGGCCTGCACCCCAGCTCTTGTAAGCATAAAGAAATAAATCTAAAAAAATAAAGGAGGAAGCCTGTAGCTAATGAAGTATTTATTGTAAATGTTTATTTACTCAGAATTTGGTCTGAGCTGCTGGGGCACATCTGATGCAGCTGCAAGTGACGGATCCCTCAGGGAGGAATGCACAAGTTGGTCTCCCCCAACTCTGGCAGTTCCCCACTCATGTGACAGGTGTGTCTTCTCCCCTTCCCCGGAGCTGAGGAAAGCAGCCTGGAGCTCGCCCATCTGGGCCCACCATTTCCCCTCCCCTTTGCAGACCCTCCCTCTTCCCCTCTTTCCCCTTTGCATAAAGCCCCTTCCCCCTGCCCAGAGCAGGACGGGGTTTGTCAGACATGAGTCTGCTGCCCTCAGGTTTGTCCACAAATTCAACCACTTTCCACTCGGTTTCCTTTTTTTTTTTTGCTTCTTAGATTTCATTTATTTATACAAGAACTGGGGTACAGGTCAGAGGCGCTGGAGTGTGAGACAATTCACTAGAGACAGTGGGGAGCAGAACAGGCAGACAGACGGAGGACACTGCTGAGGGGAGCAGCGGGCAAGACAGGAGAGGTCTGCCACGCCATGTTGGTTTCTCCGTGGCCAGCCAGGAATCGAACCCGTGCTGCAGAGGCTGCAGACAGCTTCACTGGGTGGCGCTCCACCTGCTGCATCACCACAGAGGGAAACTGAGACTGCCATCCAGTACCAATGGGGCAGGCCAGAGGCATGGGCAGGCAGGTGCTGCTGCCCTGTGGAGGGAGAGAGAGTTGGTGAAAAGAAGCACCTGCACAGTCACAGATTCACAGAGGGTCGGCTGCCCCTCGCCAGGGCAGAGACTGCACGGGTATAGTCCTTTTTTCTTTGGAAGGCGTCACTTCTTTGTGGAGAGGCCTGTTTGTTGCTGATGTTGGATAACTTGGCAAAAGTAGAAAGGGGCCACGGGTTCCAGGAGGGACCCAATCTCCCGGTCTTTAGCCTAAGGCCTGTGCGCCCCTCCCTAGACCATCTGATCTTGCTTGGGCCTTAGGCCTTGTGACAAGGCTCTGCACCCGAGGGCCTTGATTTCTACACTGGGTTAATGGTTGTGTTAGTTCCATCTACCCCCACCTCCTTGTGTGAGTCAGGTTCTGGTTTCGGGGCACCCCCCTCCAGGTTTTTCACTCTTGTCCTCCATCAATTCTTCCAAGGTAGGAAACTCCACTGGAGACATGCTTGTGATTGCAGTTTGGCAGGGGTGTGTTCTTTTTTTCTTTTGACTCATTCATTCATCACTGCTGATAACAGGGGAGTACCCCTCCCCCAGTCTCTGCAGCTTGGCCTGACTCCAAGCCCTAACCACCAACCACAGAACAGACTCAGGGATGTCAAAGTCTGGGCCACAGTGTATTGAAATGCACCATGACGTGCAAAGAGAAATATTATATGTGGAGCCGAGAGCCTTCATTTTTCTCAGAATGTATTTTGAATAACAGCTGCTTTTTTTTTTCTTTTGTGGGACCCCTGCCAGCGGCCGAGAATGAACCAGCCCTGCAGAGGCCCAGTGCTCAACCGCTGCACCACCAGGGGAAGCCCAACAGCTGCTTTTTAATGTTTGCAATAGGATCCATTTCAGGATCTGCAGGTGAATGACATTTAGTCATGCCTTTATTTATTTATTTATTTTTTTACAAATTGATTTACTTATGAATACAAGAGCTGGGGTGCAGGCCAGAGGTGCGGGGGTGGAGGTAAGGGGATTCACCAGAGACAGAGCGGGGAACAGAACAGGTGGATTGACTGAAATCCACTGCTGAGGGGAGCAGCGGGGAGACAGGAGAGGTCTGTGGTGCCCTGTGCCCTTCCTGGCTGGGGATGGAACTGGGGCTCCAGAGGCTGCGGATTGTGGCTGCCTCTGCCGCTGAACACCAGTGAATTTACTGGAAAGAGGGAGGCTTTCACTCAGACACATCTGAGTGAACAAGACCCCCGTCCCCTGTGCGCTGGACTGGACAGTCAATGACAGGTAAGATCAGGGGCAGACTAAAGAAGGCACTGACCAGCCTCATGTCTGTGACTCCTGACGACCTAAGACAGGCGCAGTCCCTGAGGGGCTTCATATTAATAATCTGTGGCGTTCAAAGTAGACAAATGGCTAAAGGGCTGTAAGCCCAATCTAGGCAATAAGTCCGCAGTAAAAATCCCCTCCTTTGCTTGAAAACAAGGCTGCTTAGAGCGTTGCCTACAAACAAGCCTGATGGAATTACCTACAAAGCAGTTTAACCATTAACCAGTTAGTCATTGTTTCTGAATAAGCAGTAACTTAGCAACTTATCTATAATTATACTATTTTCTTACCTGACTTTTTCTATATATGTAAAAATCAGTTTCAGGAAATGTATTGTAAACACATATGCTTAGCAACTTGTAAACCATTAGCTAGAAAATTGCGTTCTATGCCTAGGTAACAAGAAACATTGTTATGCTGGGAAAATAGATTTTGTGTGATCTAATGCCTTTTGAAAATGTATAAATATGCGTAATAATTTGAACAAATTACATTCAGATCTTCACTCTTGAAGTGTGTCTGTCATTTATGCGCTGAATCCTTGACCATCCTGCACGAGTTTCACATCCCTGGGACTGCCTTGCCAGTCTACCGCTGCGCTGGTCCATGGCAGCGGATGGCTTCACAGTGCGGTGCTTAACCCCTGCCCCACCAGGGTGGTCCCTCCTCATGCTTTTATGTCAGCTTCAGGTAAGGGGACTTTTAAGAATGATTTTAAAAAAATAATCTTTCCCAGAAATTCAAGCAACCTTGTTTGCTGTTTTAATAACTAGCAGATACTGTAGGGTCACAGTATTTTTGGCGAGGAGGAGACATCTGTCTGCATCTCAGTGTTTATTTGTGAACCCTCCTGCCAGCGCCTGTGGCCGGGTGGGCGTGGCCTCCTGCGCGCCCGGCCCCGCCCAGCACACCTGGCTGCACCTGCGCCGCTACCGCGAATGCGCGCTCACCCAGGCCCCGTCCCAGTCCCTGGCTCTGCTGGTCCCCAACTCGGGGTGAGGTTCTAGCTCGGGTGAGCCTGGTCCTTCAGGCCGTGGGGGCGCCATTGTTGATTACATGCTTCACCCTTTGCACCACAAGGGAGGCCTCAGGACTCTTGTATTTGAAAGCTGGAAGGATCTGGACTTTGAATTAGTGCCTCATTATTTCCACTGTTTTTCATTTTTACCTAGAACTAGATGATGCTTGTTAATTAAGACAATAAATATTGTAAAAATTGACAAAGGGTAAAATGTGCTCATTTGGACTGACAAATGAGTTCAAGCTAAAAATTGAAAACCCATTGAATGGAATTCAGGTGATGGGGTTCAGTATGGGGGGAATCTTGGATCCTCTCAAAAATAATTCAGTAATGTTCCCTGTCATCAGCACAGGGCAAGGTGATTGAGGAAAAGAGAGCAGGGAAGAGAGACGTCTGCATAGACACAGATAGGCTCTGAAAGAACAAAAGCTGCATCTTCCCAGGGGAAGGGGTGTTCTTTCATGATGTTCTTTGATGGAATGAGTGTGGAAGTTATTGCCTTGGGTCAGAATGGGTTGGTCTTCTAAGTTTGATAATCCTTTCTGCCCCCACCTCTGGCTGATCATCTTTTCTGACCCCACCCTAGATTGCTGGAACCTTCCATAATTGGGTTAGTAAAGATTTACAAATTGTCCTTATGATACCTCCCTCAGTAAACAAAAACAAACAAACAGCAACAACAAAAAATATGGTGACCTTGACACTAACTGATATTATGTAGCTGCTCTTCCCACCTCTGCTTTACTATCAAGAAGGCCATATTTTCACCCTTAGAATTTTTTCTGTAACAGCAACAGAATTTTTAAGGATTTCTTTACAAAATCTATGGTTACTTTTCACCTCCCGAGGAGCAGGGGGTGTAATTGCACCAATGATTGCACCAATTTTTAAAATTGCTTTGGTTGACTGGTTCTGAAACTGAAAGGGAGCTGTGTACATTGTAGAATATTTGAATGTTAGAATAAAATAAAATGAGGAACAGTGAGCTGTGATTTTTCCTTGAAAGTTAAATACTTTTAGGGTCTCCCTAGTGGTGCAGGAGTGAAAGTCCCAGCGCTATCAAGCTATTGCCAGCCATCATGCCTTGCGTTTGCTCCCCAGCCAGGGAGTTGACCCACAAGGCACAGTGGACCTCTCCTGTTTCCCTGCTGTTCCCCTCAGCAGTGGATTTCAGTGGATCCACCTGTTCTGATCCCCACTCTGTCTCTGGTGAATCCTCTCACCTCCTGCACCTCTGGCCTAGACCCCAGTTCTTGTGTGTACAAAAATAAATCCATCTTTTAAAAATAGATCATTTTAAGAATTAGCTTACTTTCTTCTACATAATTTCCAATATTTTGAACTGTGAACTATAACACCCGTGTGTAAGGGCAGAGACTATAAGTGTGAAATTTTAGAATTACAAAAAGGAACACCCATTAACTGGGTGAAGAAACCTAAGGCCACATTATATCATAAGCTCCCTCCCCAAGTAGGCAGGAATATGTGGCTGTCATTATCATTTCCCTCACCCTTCATGACAGCTCATCACCTAAGTGTGTATCACTCAATGCAGACATAACACGTGATTTCCATTTTGTCTGAAATTTAAAATTTAAATCAGTCCTATTATGTTATATCTGTATATCTGGAATAAGGCTATGCCGACCATTTTATATCTTTCCTCCTTCATCTAACATTACATCACAAGTCTTTCCAAGTCATGTGAAACTATTCAGAATGACGGTGCCTCGTTGCTCCATTGGTCTCACGCACATAGTGCTACAGAGTTCACTGTTTCCTGGGGTTTTGACTGAGATTGTTTTCAGTATTTGTAAGTATGAGAAAATGCTGGTTAGCAAGTTTACAAATAAAGGTGTGTGTGTGTGTGTGTGTGTGTGTGTGGAAGCGTCTCCTCAGGTCACGTCTCAAAACCTGAATGACGACTCCTTTTAATGCAGACACACACACGTGTAACATCCCAAATGCTGGCAGCTCAGTCCAGAAGCGCGACACCACCTTGTTCTCTTCCCCGAATGCGCGAGAACCCCCATTTCAGCGGGTTCTTGCCTCTACATCACTCTGTCTCCCCATCTTCAGGGCTCTGACGTCACACACTCCCGCTTCCTGCTCCCCCTCTGCGCGGGCCCCCCCACGACTCTCCGGGCTGCATCCCACCCCCACCCTGCCCGGCTGACCCGCCCTCGGCCAAGGCTCCAACCTCCTGCGCCTCACGCTGTCCCAGAGCCCCAGCACCGCACCGCCCCTCTGCGCCACCAGGCGGTGCGCGCCGCTGCTCCGCCCCTGGTTCCCCCCGCGAGCCTCTCCTTCCTCGGCCTTGCCCCGCCCCCTGCGTGGTGACGTCACGGCATGGCACGCTGATACGCGAGAGCGGAGGCGGGAACGGAAGTGGCGAAGACGCAAAAACCAGGAGCGCCCGCCCCAGAGTGGCGGAACAGCGGGTCGAGGAAGGAGAAGCCCCGGGAGGGGCAAAGCACAGGAGGGGGAGCGCGCGCCGCCTGGTGGTGAGGCGGGGAAATGCGGCGTCGCGGGGAATTATCAGGATGTGCCAGGGCGGGCTTTGCCGGGGCGGGCGGCCCCTTCTCTCACTGTGGGGGGCGGCGGGTTCGGGGCCCTCTGTGGCCGGGTCCGTGTCCCCCGCGTGTCTGTGATGCACGTGGACACCATCTGCTGTTTTACTGGCTGCGGAAATTCTAGGTTCACAGCATGTTCAGAGACGTGGGTTCTTCGCCTCCGCGTCCGCTTGATTTTCTAAACTTCAGCCGCAGCAGGACGGGCGGGGGCGCCCCCGTGAGCACCCCGGGGCTTTCCCGCTTGCTCCCGCCCTGGAGCGCCCCCCTACACCCTCCCTGCGGCCCCGCCCCGCCCCAACACTGGCTCCTGCCTCCCCGGGGCCGGGCTCGCCTTGGCACCGGCTTCTCCGGACGTGGGGTGAAGTCCTTGCCCGCGGGACCCGGTTTCTTCAGGAGCCGCCCCAGAGCGAGGGGGGCGAGGACGTCTCCCGCCGGCGGTGCCTGCAGAGCGGTGAGTCGGGTCACCCGGGCCGGGCGGGCGGGCTGTGGGGAGTCTGCGCGGGCCATTTCGGGTCCTGGAGGAACATGGGGGTCAGGACCTTCCTGAGTGTGACCTGGGGGTGCCCGGCGCCCCTGAATGAGAGTGCGTCCCCGTGTTTGCTCGCGGCTCCTCCCTGCTGCACTGATCACCCCTGGATGGGTTTTCTGGGCTCCCAGTTCTGTTCCGTTGATCTGTGTGTTTTATTTCTGTGGACTAGAATATAATCTGGGGAATGTATTGTACACTTTTCTGGGGCTGCCGTCCCCCTCCCCACGCCAGGTATAGCAGCAGGAGGGCAGAGTCGAGTCCCAGTCTCCCGGGGTGCAGGTTCTGACCCAGTGGGTTGCGTGGTGCCTGGGGCTCTGCATTTCTCACAGGGTCTGAGATGCTGCCCGTGCTGGGCCTGGGCCCACGTCTGGGGGCCGAGGCGTCACTACCTGTCGTGCAGGTGATGTGGCCATTCAGAGCCTTGAAGGGGTGGTTGACCCTGGAAATTGCCTCATGAGGCAACTTTACAATAACCCTTGAATAGAATCCAGGCTTCCCTGAGCCTCGAGTGACCAGGAGCCACATGGCCTGCCATACTCTGGCTACAAGTCTTTGGTTTTCTAAAATGGGTTGTTATTAACCAGTTCAGTGTATTAAAGCAGCGGCCCTCTCTGCATCACTGAAGGGCCAACCTGAGAAACCCCGCAGCAGTAACAGCTGGAAAGTTTCTTCATGGGGAGTATGTGAGACGCTGAAGGGCCCTTTTCTAAGCTCTTGAGATCTTTATGAGACTGACGCGCTACCTACTGCGCTAATGAGGCACCTGAGATCTTTTCTCTATCGATGGTGCTAAGAGGATTTCTCCTATTTCAGGGATTGTGTAAACCACAGTGACTCATGTGGGAACTGGACATTTTGGAGATAATCCACTTTATTTTTTTTAAAGCTTTCGTTTATTTTTTATAGAAGAACTGGGGTGCAGGCCAGAGGTGTGGGAGGCTGAGAGGATTCATCAGAGACAGAGTAAAGAGTAGAACAGGTGGATCTACCGAGATACACTGCTGAGGGGGGCAGCAGGTGAGACAGGAGGGGTCTGCTGCACCATGTGGGTAGCTCCCTGGCCAGGCTTGAACTCAGACCATTGTGGTGACAGCACTGAGATTTAACCCCTAGGCCATTGGGCGGGGGGGAGGCTGCACTTTTAATGTGTTACACTGATGTTACCTCCTTCCTTGCCAATCCCTCTGTTACGCTCGCTTTGGAGAGAAGTTGAATTTCTCTGGAAAGGAGAAAGGAATCGGCATTTATTGAGCACCTGCTGGAGCAACAAGTTCATCGCTTTAGGTACGTGATCTCTATTAATGACTCTATAGAGATACTATTCCTACCCTGTAGTCATGGACCCTGAGGTCCAAAAGGAATCAGTGACTTCTCTGAGATCCAAAAATAAGCACAAGGGCCAGATGTATTTGGGAACCCAAATCTTTGTATTTTGTACTGAACCAGAAGTTTTAAAATGAGGGTAAATGGTAACCCTCTTGGAGGCCAGGGGGAAGGAAGGAGTGTGGGCACCCCCACCCATCCTCAGAACAGGTCCTTGGGTGCTGGGCATCCTCCTCCATAAGGAAGGGGCTTGGCCTAAAACAAGACAGAACAAAACTTGCACGTCATTGCACCACGTGAAGATGCTGCCATTAATATTGAATGTGAATGACTTCATAGTTTTAGACTGGCTCTAATCCCTGCTGCTATTAAGAGACTGTAGTCTCTTAAATAGCCTTTTTCTAATGATTCCCATGCAGCAAGCTTAATTGTTGCACGTACCAGAGAAAATTCCTGGAGATCTAGAACAATTGGTGAGGAGGGGATGCCTCGGCAGTGCCTGCAGCCTTGTTCAGGATGAGACCCCCTTTAGGGCATTTATTTATTTATATTGTCTTAGGGTCTTCCCTGTCCTTAAAGACCATCTCTTTTTTCTTCTTTTCTTTTTTTAAAAATATTTATTTATTTATTTATACAAGAGCTGGGGTACAGGCCAGATGCACGGGAGGGTGAGAGGATTCACCAGAGACAGAGCGGGGAGCAGAGCAGGCAGATTGACTGAAATACGCTGCTGAGGGGAGCAGCGGGGGAGACAGGAGAGGTCTGCCGTCCCATGTGGGCATCTCTGTGGCCGGTGGGGATCGAACTGCCAGTGCGGACAGCTTCACAGCGCTGTGCTTAACCTCCTGCTCCACCAAGGAGGCCCGTTTATTCTTTTCTTACATAGTTGTTCATTTTTGTCTAGTTATTGGTTTCTCCCCTCAGGGGTGGTCCCCGTAGTTCTCCCACCACCATAGCACCCATGACCCATCACCTTGTGCTCTTCCCTCCCCTCTGTTTACCCCCCTCCCTGCCCCTCCCTGCTGAATGCCTCAGGTCTTGGTCACCCTGCTAGAGTTGTTTTTCTCTACCTTTTGTTCAGTTTCTCTATATTTCGTACGTAAGTAAAACCACCTGATACTTATCTTTCTCCTGCCTTTTTGTGGCTAGCTCATCCCTTCCAGCTCCATCTGTATTGCCACCAGTGGCATGAATGTGTCTTTTTTGATTGCTGAGCAATATTCCGTGGTGTAACTATACCACAACATTTTGATTCATTCATTTGTTTTCTGGCATTTGAGTTGTTTCCATGTCAGGGCTATTGTAAATAGGGCTGCAATGAACACAGCAGTTCAGGTTTCCTGGGTTTTTTTTGTCCCTTAGGTAGATTCCTAGGAGTGGAATGCTGGATCATGTGTAGGCCCGTTTTCAGTGTTCTGAGGAACCTCCACACAGCTGCCCATAGTGGCTGGACCAGTTTGCACTCCCACCGGTGATGTTAGAGGCTCCTTTTTCTCCACCGTTTCTCCAGCATTTGTTGTTTCCAATTTCCCTTTTTTAATGTGGAGCCTTCTCAGTGGAGTGAGGTGGCAGCTCATTGTGATTTTGATTTGCATTTTCCTAATATCAGTAATGCTAAATGTCTTTTCTGTGCCTGCTGGCTATTTGCATTTCTTCTTCGGCAAAGTGTCTTTTTACTTCTGTCATTTTTGTTTTGACTGGGTTGTTTGTTTTTGTTGAGTCTCATCAGCTCTTTGTAGAGTTTTGTGATCAGTCCTTTATCATTAGTGTTATGTGCAAAAATTTTCTCCCAGTCGGTAGGGTTTCTCTTTGTTTTGGTTACTGTCCCTTTTGCTGTGCAGAAGCTCTTTAATTTGATTTAGCCCCAGCTGTTTATCTTTGCCTTCACTATCACTGCTTTGGGTGATGTATCTGTAAAGATGCCTTTGAGGTGCATGTCATGTAGTGTTTGGCCTATATTTCTGTCTGTATATTTTTGGTTTCAGGTCTTATGTCTTGTTCTTTAATCCATTTTGAGTTGGTTTTTGTGCATGGTGTGAGGCAGGTGTCAAGCTTCATTCTTTTGCATGTAGCGACCCTGTTTTCCCAGCACCATTTATTAAACTAACTTTCTCTGATCCATTGCATATTCTTTGCTCCTTTGTCAAAGATTAGTTGACCATAAATCGATGGGTTTACTTCTGGATTTTCTATTTAGTTCCATTAGTCCATGTGACTGTTCTTGTTCGAATACCATGCAGTTTTGAATATTATGGCTTTGTGGTATAGTTTGAAGTCAGGAAGTGTGATACATCCATTCCCTTCTTTTTTTTATTTTTCCAGGAGAACTTTGGCTATTCAGGGTTTTTGGTGGCTCCATATGAATTTCATAAATATTTGTTCTATTTCTTTGAAGAATGTCATTGAAGTTTTTATTGGAATAGCATTGAATCTGTAAATTGTTTTTGGTAGGATGGCCATTTTGATAATGTTAATTCTTCCAATCCATGAGCAGGGGATGTCTTTCCATTTCTTTGTGTCTTCTATTTCTCTTGACAGTGTTTTATAGTTTTCTTTGTATAGGTCCTTTACCCTCCACCCTCCTTTTGGGTGGGCAGGGAACCTGAAACTTCCCCTTTTCCTGGGAACCACCCTGTTACAAGCATGCAGCCAGGCTTGGAGGTGAGGTCTTTAAAGAGGTGGTTAAGGTAAAATGATACATTTAGGGTAGGTCCTAATTCACTCTGACTGATAAGAAGGGGAAATTTATGGAGCCTCCCTGGTGTTCAGGGGTTAAGGCTCAGTGCTATCACTGCTATGGCCTGAGTTCGATCTCTGGCCAGGCTCATGGTGGCCACATGGTACAGCAGACCTCTCCTGTCTTGCCTGCTGCTCCCCACAGCAGTGTATTTCAGTAGATCCTCCTGTTCTGCTCCCTACTCTGTCTCTGGTGAGTTCTCTCACGTCCCACACCCCTGACCTACACCCCAGCTCTCATATACATAAATGAAATAAATCTTTTTTTTAAAGATTTATTTATTTATACAAGCACTGGGTACAGTCAGAAGCGTGGGAGGGTGAGAGGATTCACCAGAACCAGAGCGGGGAGCAGAGCAGGCAGAAGAACCGAAGTACACTGCTGAGAGGAGCAGCAGGTGGCAGGAGAGGTCTGCGTGCCATGTAGACCCTTACCCAGTGGTGGGGGATTGAACAGGCGCTGCAGAGGCTGCGGGCCGCTTCGCAACCCAGCGCTCAACTGCTGCACCACTGGGGAGGCCCGAAATAAATCTTTAAAAAAAAAAAGAAGAGGAAATTTGGGCACACCAGGACACCATGGCTGCTCAGGCAGAGGAAAAAGGCCACATAAAGAGGCAACAAGAGATCAGCCATCTACAAACCAAAGAGAGAGGACTAAGAGGAAACTAACCCTGCTAGTACCTGGATCTTGAACTTTCAAGCCCCCAGAACTGTGAGAGAATAAATTTTGTTGTTCCAGCCACCCGATCAGTGGTGCTTTGTTATGGCAGCCCTGGCTGATGAATACACATACCTGTTGTTTAACTTGTTACTTGTGAAAGCATCCCTGATACTTTTCAGTTCTTTGAAACATATGCTGGGAGTTTTTAGAACCCAGATTGAAAAAAGTCAAGTCTGACTAACATTTTTTCTCAGTAGTGTAACTTTTCCCCCTCAACCCCAATATCATTAAACCTTTTGCTGATAATTTTCCTTACATCCTTCACAATGCTCCATTCAAAGTTTTCAGTGAAAGGACCATCACCCTAAGTAAATGACATCAGAGTTGAATTAGGTACCATGTGGATAAAATTTCATCATTTAATAGCTTTCACAATAAAGAATTAGGAAACTTGAAGCTGTTACCATGAATGTTAATATAATTATTTAACTGAACTGACTTCTTCAAATATTCATCATTTACACACCAATATAATGGGGAAGAGAAGCAGTACTGGGATTTGACCTTGTCAAATCTGATATACAGAAAGGAAAAGGGTCTGTCTGCAAATGCCAAAGATTTCAGAGAAACGTTATTCCAGGGATCACTGAGTTTATGAGTTCATAACCACCATCTTTTGAAAGCAATGATATAGATTGAAAATTCTTATAACTTAAGTTCTAAGAAAAGATAGTGATAGTTGACTTCAAAAGTAATCTTGATGAAGGAAATGTTAGGGGGAAAGGATGTCCTGATCTAATTCTATACAGGCTTTGTGTACTCTACCCCCACTCCAGACCAAAGCCATCAAGACATTGGGAAAGAGAAATCCCATCACCACCTACGGGAAGGTTGCTGGGATCTGAGGGTGGAGTTAAGCAGCCAGGTTTGGTATAAAAACGAGACATGTGGGCCTTGGGGGCTCTCTCTCCTCTTGGCTTCACGGCTCGTGGCTCAAGGCCACCTTTCAGAGTGCCATTGGGATTCCAGGGCAGCAGAAAGGGTTTTCTCCCTGAGTTGTACATTTCCTCATTTCCCCTTCCCTTGTCAATAAACCTTTTATTAACCTTTCGTGTGTGCCTGCAGTAGAGTATTAATAAGTCCTTTATAAGCGCACGGTTGAGGACCCACAGTCAGGCAACCCATTTTATATCAGGGCTGCCCTGTAACAGAAGTAATGAAGGAAAATATTACTAATTTTGCCGCCCCCATTTTAACTTTTACAAAAAATATGCCAAATCAAAATATAAACAAAGGGAAAGTTTCTACCACACATAAGCAAATATGGGCTTCTTATTTTACAAAGAGCTCATCATAGCAGCAAGAAAGAGGTAAACGATTCTATTGGAAAACAGATTATCAACAGTTCAGTGACGATAAAAAGGCAAGTAGATATCAAGCATGGGACAGCTCTCTCAGTTACATTCATAAAGACATACAAATCAAAATGATGGTGCAGTGTAAATGATCATCTGCGTAACTCTGACACCAAATAAATGGACACAATCTAGTATGGTGAGGTTTACCTGGAGGTCTGGTGGGAAGGTAAATTTGCATAACATTTTGGTGCACAGTACCTGTCAAGATGTAAAATGCATTTCTTTTGCCAGTCAATTTTATCTTATGGATATATTTTTAAGTACATTATATCTATCTCTCTATCCTCTATCTGCATCAATATTTGTATCCATCTAATCTTACCTATTTCGATTCCGGCTGGCCAGGGAGATTCCCACAGGGTGTGGCAGATCTCTCCTGCCTCGTCTGCTACTCCCCTCAGCAGTGTATTTCATCAGCTGCCTGTTCTGTTCCCCGCTCTGTCTCTGTTGAATCCTCTCACCCTCTCACACCTCTTGCCTGTACCCCAGCTCTTGTATAAGAATAAATAAATCTTTTAAAAAAGAAAAGATTGAAATGGGCTTGGATCCATCTGGCAGCAAGGTGGTGAAAATAGGTCCATACCTTGCTACCCACTGTTTGACTGAACACCTCTACTTTTAGACTTCATGGTGAGGGGTATAATTCTGCACCTCTGTCTCTTTGTTTCTGGTGTTTATCTCCTGTCTTGGCTTCTTGGAACCCAGACACACGGAAGGAAGACTCCACAACCTGGGCCTTCCAGAACGTGGTTCCTGAGATTCTACCAACAATACCTAAGCATCCAAAGAGCACATCCACAGAGCAGGGCAGTCCACAAAGAGGGTTTGGGAGACATTACTGCCTTGAAAAAAATTAAGTTTGCAGAAGAATATTATTTAGTTTTGTCCAGTTTCCTTAAAACTCGCCAAAGAAAGTGCTTTTCTTCACTCTAGAATGGCAAGGAATATTTTTTCCCAAGAAGTAAAACAGGAATAAGAAAAAAAAATCTGGTGTCTGTTACTTTTATAATAGATGGAAAATGGGTTATCTTTGTTTTATACTGACTCACAGAATGACAGAAACCAAGATTTTGTATTTTTGATATGAAAGTTTTGATCGCTGCAAAAAGTTTTAAAACTATGACACTGTAGTAAGTCATAAAGATATGATCCGTTATAAGGTAAATTCATATTTTTTCCATCCTTCCTTCCTCCCCTTCTCCTTCCTGCCTCTTCCTTTCTTGTCTCTTCTCCTTCCTTCCTACCCTTGACTGCCTTCCATTTGTTTGAGGACACATTATCCATCTTCTCCACATGGAAGACCGCCCGGGTGTTTCCCCTCTTCCTTCCTGAGGGAACCCCAATTACGCTGAATAATACATTAACTCTAGAGAACATCTCACACTTGGCTCCAAGTGCAGAGGTCCCTTCCCTTACCAGAGGTGGGTCTAGAGAAAACGTATGACCCAATGTTGGCCAATGTGACATAAGAGGAATTCTGCTGGGTGCTACTTGAAAATACTCCCCTTCCTGGTAAGGAAGAAAGGTGTAAGAAGAGTCTTTTTGCTTCTCTCTCCCTTCTTCGTTTGTGACTATTGGGCTGTCCCATGACGCCTGCAACTGGGGCAGCCGTCCTTCCACATCCCAGGGTGCTCCCTTGGCCCAGAGCCAGTGATAGCAGAGATGAGGACAGAAAGAACCTGGGATTGGAACAGTCCCAGCCTTCTTGAGAATTCCTAAGTAAACTAGAATTTTCCTAATAGTTGAAGTCAGGCTTTTCTGTAACTTGTAGCCACAAAAGCATTTCCCTGTACACCTGGGCTCTAAAATCAAGTGGAAAGCTCTATTACATTAAATAGAAAAGTAATCGTGTTAATTATGATGACAGAAATATGATGAAAGAGCTTTGGCTCCACCCAAGACTGATGGTAGCACTGTTTGAAGGGGGTGGGGAAAGCACCCCATTCTGCCTCCCAGGAGGAGGGGCGGGTTTGGTGAGGCATCTGTGGTCACTGCTAAATAATCCTGAGCAAGATTTATTTATTTATGCATACAAGAACTGGGGTATAGGCCAGAGTTCTGGGGGGTGAAAGGATTCACCAGAGACAGAGTGGGGAGCACAACAGGGGGATTGATGGAAATCCACTGCTGAGGGGAGCAGCGGGGAGACAGGAGAGGTCTGCTGCGCCATGTGGGTAGATCCCTGGCCGGCTGGGCATCCGAACTCGTGCCGCAGAGGCTGCGGAAGCTTCATAGCTTGCGTCTTAACCCCAGGGAGGCCCTGAGCAAGTTTTTAAATCCCAGTAGACCCTTTTTGCCATTTTACTGGCTTCCTGGGATTTTCGTTGGTGTATTTCTGGAACAGACAGGGTATTTGCCGCCACTTGAGTTTGATTTTCCAACTTGCCGGCTGCAGCGGGCCTGCGCAGTGGGCGTGGCCACCGAGGGCGCGTCGGGGCGTGGCCGCCCCCACCTGCCGCACCTGCCGCACCTGCGCGCCCTCCCCACGCATGCGCGCAGTGCTGTTGCTGTGGCTCCGCTCCCGCCCGCTTCCCCGACCTTGGGGCGAGTTGGGGCTGCTGGAACCTGGTCTCTCTAGACCCAGCCGGGGGTCCTCATCCGTGGGATTATAGGGGCCCCTCGGGCCGGCAGAGGAGGAGGTTAGCCGAGGGCGAGGGGCGGGGAGCACATCTCCCTGAGGGCGGCTGACTGCGGAGGGCAGTGGGAGGACCCAGGGCGGGAGGGCTGGATGTGGGGACCTGGGGGGCATTTGGGGTTCGTACTGGGCCTGGAGGAATAGAGGGGTCCGGGCTCATTCCTGAGCGTGACCCTCCGTGTCCGCCTCCAGGCGCTGAAGCGCGGCCTCCTGCGCCCCCGCCCGGGCGCCTCTGCGGCCTGGATGGCACTGAGTCTGAGCAGCCGCACCCCCCGCCCCCAATGGCCTTGGAGGCGGGGAGAGAGGAGGTGAAGAGAGCGCTCATCCTTTGGGGCTCCCCAGGCGTCCTTCAGATAGAAGGTGAATCCGGGCCTCCCCGGGAGCGCTGGGCTGCGAAGCTGCCCCGCAGCCTCTGCAGCGCCAGTTCGATCACCGGCTGCTCCCCGGCCACCGGAGGAGGGTCCCACATGGCGCGCAGACCTCTCCTGCCGCCCGCTGCTCCCCTCAGCAGTGTCCTTCAGTCCTTCTGCCTGCTCTGCTCCCCGCTCTGGCTCTGGTGAATTCTCTCACCCCCACATCTCTGACCTGCACCCTAGCTCTTGGATGCATAAATAAATCTTTAAAAAATATATCTCCACCCCACACAGGGCCCTACAGGACATGCAGATGCTGGGACTCAAAAGTGCAAACACTTTCCACAGCCCCTGCCCTCCCCTCCCCACTGCAGTCTCCTCCACGATGGCGTCCTCAGCTTCGTATCCAAGGCGCATCCGAATTTGTCTGCTGAGCTCCATCCTGCCACCACCTGGCTGCAGGCGTGTCCTCTCTCACCTGACTTGTTGCAGCAGCCTCCTAACGGGTATTCTCATTTTATCTGTCACTCCTTCCAGAACATTCTGGACACAGCATTCCTGGAGGCTCCTCCTGGCTCCACACCGTGAAGAGCCGGCGGGTCCAGGTATGGAGACGCCTCTCAACAAAGGGGTTTGGCTTCGACAGTACAAAGCGCACCCATAAGCTCCGGTCTCGGACCCCACTTTCCTGGCGCGTGTCCCGGGGCAAGACAGGGAAGCCCTTTAGGCCTCCTTCCCTTCTCCATGCGCGGCATCTGCCCTTGGGCTGTTGGGGCTCCCCGAGATGCCCACAGGGGCCGTGCGCATGGACCCTGCGGGTCAGTCAGTTGTTCTGCTTGTCTGGGTCACTGGGACGGCTCAAGTATTTATCCATTTGAGAAAAAAGTGAAATCCTCGCCTCAAACTATTCAAAAAATTGTGGACAGGCCAAGCCCCTAAACACAAGGCTGGGACGCAGGCGGCAGCACAAGCAAGGGAGCACCTGGGGAGGTGGGGGGCGCCCAAGAAATCAGATCTTGGCCTCGGCCAAGGCCCCAGACCTGAGCCCTGGGGGGGCAGCAGGCTGGGGAGGCCCCTGTGGAAACCCCTGGGCGCGGGGAAGGGGGAGGGCCGGGGACGCGGGGGGAGCGCGCTCCACTTCACGGGTCACAAGGAAAGGGGGGCGCTCCCCCCATGGATGGCTTTGCTGGAATCTGGCCACCCTGGAAGCTGGAAGGGCGGTGACATGGGGTCCCGGCTTTCGCTTTCCCGGCGCGGGCGTGCGGTGGGCGCGATGGCTCCCCACCATCAGGACGGGAAACTGAGGCAGGAGGGACGACACGCCGGGGGAGGGCGCAGTAGTAACAATGGGCAAAGCCGGCCCCTGACCCGGGGATCTGCCCCCCTCGCAGGCCGCCTGCCACACCCCTGCTGCCGCCCTCCCCACCCCACGCCCCCCCCTCCCCCGCCGAGTGGCCACGCTCTCTCCCGGGCACCCTGGACGCGGCTTGTGTATCTGTCACCCGGTCGCGTCCTTCTGAAATCGCAACAGCTCGGCCCGTGCAGGCGGAGCCATCCCTGGGCCTCACCCTCGTCCTGCAAACGGGGGGCCGTTGTCTCCCCCTCTTCGGTCTGAGGGCTTCCTGGAGTGGCCCAGAGCGCCCCAGCAGACGGCCATCGCCCTGGTGGCGTGTGTGCTCTCCCTGCTCCTGGTGCTGACCGGGAGGCCCCTGGCGCTTTTCCTGACCACCGCGCCGCCGCCGCCGAGGGTTCCGCGTCCTCAAGGAAGTGACCGGGCAGCTGAAGGGCAGGCCGCTGAGGCCAAGTGCCCGCCCAACACCCGTTGGGACATTTCTTGTGTTGCGTTTAACCTTTTGGGGAGGCTTTGCACCCGTGACCCTGAACGAAGTCATCCTCCATGCAAATGTTTCCTATCCCACTGGGAGGGGGGGCAGGGATTCGCTGGTGCCCCCAGCTGGAGGTGCAGCCCGACCTCGCAGAAGGTGGACGGAGGGAGCTCTGGGGGTGGACAGTGCTCGTAGCTTCCTGACCTGTGTCCTTGGGGTGTAGGATACTTCTCCAGCTACTGAACCCCCGTCTAGTTTCCGGAGGAGTCTTGTGTCTGTGGAGTTCGGGGTCACGGCTAGAGACTCACCCTTTATCTGCTTGTAAACAGTCCTTCCTTGACATTTGGAAAGAAGCTGCCATTGAGGGATCACGTCCTGGAGCGAGGGAGGCTGAGTCTTGGCTCCCGTGTATCCCTTGCAGTTTTTCATTCATCCTGATGATGGATTTTGTTGCTAGAAAATCCTCCCACTCAGCCGTTCCCATGTTTGCCTTCTTTCTACCATGTTACCTTCCCTTTTTGGTTGATTTGTAAGTGTTGGCCTAGTTGACTCTTGCTTCTCCGAAGAAACAGCATCAGGATGGATTTGTATCCACTCCTCCAGCTTTGCGATGTTCCCATTACTGGGTCTTGGGTTTGAAAAAATGTGTTTTTACTCCTGGTGTCAATGTTGAGGGTGAATGCTTTGTGTTCTCTGACAAATTAGCCAGTGGAACCAGCCTTGGCAGCTTCCTGAAGTTGGATGCCCCGTGTTTTTTATGTCACACTGCCCTGTTTCTAACTCGCAACCACTGGATTGACCCAAAAAGTCACTTTCTTGATTTCTGGCTCTGGGAGGCAATGTGGCCTCTCTGCCGCTTTCCCAGGTTTTCTGGAAGCCTTGGCTGTGGCCCGCCTGAATCACAACCTGGGGCGGGGGTGTGTGTCTTTGAGGCTAATTTTCCATTTCTCGAATCCCAAGAATGTGGGATTCATGCAAGAAACCCCAAATAAATGGTGAAATGAGTCCCTTCATGTCACTTGACTGGGATTCCAAGGCCTTTTCCTGCTGAAGAAATAAGGACATGCAGGTTTGAAATAGAGGGGTCTCTCCCCATCGTGATCCTGGGGTGCAGTTACCCCAAAAAGGGGCATGTAAAGGGACAAAGACACAAATCTGAAATGTCTCCGCGTCTAGTCGCTTCCCGCCACGCCCCACCACGCCCCGCCACGCCCCACGCACGCCCCATCCCACCCCACCTCACCCCACCCCACCCTGCCCTGCTGTTTTGGCCCGTGGAGCCTCATCACGCCCCGCCCCCCCGCCCCGCCCCGCAAACCATCATGCGCTGTCCTGCGCTGTCTGCCCAGTTGTTACCGCACCTGTTATCTTGCCGCCATCTGAACGGGCCATCTGATCGACCCATCTGAATACCTGCGCAGCCCGAACAGGCCAACTGGTCGACCTCAGCAGGGTGCAGCAGCAGTAGTGGTCCCCCCTCCCCACCGGCAACCCGGCGAGGAGGAGGAGCCTATTAATAAACCCAAGGCGGCCTCCTGCATCACAGGAACGGACCAAGCAGAGCTGCAAGAAGGTGGATAAAAAAGCACTCCTTCCCACCCCCCCCTCTGCACATTAGTGGGCAGTCGCTCAGGCCCTCCTGGTATATAGGAGCCTCCCAATGAACAAAAACAGACCTCAAGCCACCACATCGTGCCCCAAGAGCTCTTCCACTAACACACGCCAGCCAGCCACCACGTGACAATGCCCAGGCCCCACCTCATGTAGGGTAGACCAATTCCAGCAACAATGCAGTAAAGACATACACTACATGCAAGCAAACCCCCCAACCACCTTGTTCATACATCCAGTGAACCATCAAAGACCTGAGACATACAGCAGGGCTAGGTCAAATCAATAGGAAAGCACATGACAAAAACAGACCCCCCAAGCACTGAGTCATCAACCCAAGAAGCAGGAGCTTAAACCACAGAGGACCCCACCTTCCCAGCCCTACTGCACTAGAGTCACAAGCCCAGGGAATATCACCACCAAGGGCTTAGGGGCCTGGGCCCAGCCACAGCCCCACACATAAGGTAGCTAAATTCAGCACTCAAATTTTTGTGCTTCACAATACCATATTGCCACAGGGTGCATATCCAAGACAGCACACCCTCTTAAAAAAGGGGTTATAGGCTGCAGCTCATGCCTCAGCACGTAGGGGGTATATACACAACCCACTGTACCAGCTCTTAAGCATATTATAAGCTTGTAGGAAACTCCAAGTCCCACCCCTTATAAGTGCAAACCCCACAAGCCCATCTTACCAGCACAATCTCAAATCCGTGAATAAAAAGTGGCACCCAACAACAAGAACACAGGTATCAAGCCCAGCCTCCATACCACTCTTTAGGGTTATTCATAGTGAGTAAAAACAAACCTTGTAAAGGTGGCCATAGGAGATGCAAGGGCCTGCAACAAGGAGCCATCACAACCATGACAGACCAGGCCATGGCCCCAACCACACTAATGGGGCGAACACTAAACACTCTTCCAGGGGCAGTTCAGTGACAGGTGGAACATGGGAACACAACAGGGCACAGAACCACTCAAGTAGATAGGGGCACAAACCAAGGCATCAGTCCCTGCTGAAAGCTACAACAGCAGAGCACTCCCACAGACATCCCCATGGATGCTGTCTAAAAGGCTGTGGCCCAAGCACACCTCTGGGCATTGCTTGCCATGCCCCCCCACTGTCTTAAGCTGGATACCCCTTCTCAAAGCTGCAGCACTCACATGCAGGGAACCATTGTATGCAGGACTCAGCCAGCACTTGGCCCTACATCAAGGAGCAAGAACAGCCATTCTGGTGACTCAGGTCTCTCCCTATTTACTCCAACAGCCCCTATTTTCAATAGCATTGACCCCCACACAGGGAAGGGGCTCAGCCAATATAAACCAATTGCTTGCCCAACAAAGCCTTTGGCAATTCAGGAATCACCCTGCCCACACAAAGTGAGGAAGGCTGCAGTGATAGGGGCAGTGAAGCAACAGTGACCAGGAACTGTGGTCACCCCCCACTAGGGGCACCACCACTAAACAACCCAGAGCTAGAGAGGCTCTACCCCAAAGCCAGCCAACACAGGGCCCAAAGGACACCAGCTCCTGGGGGGCAACCAACACCATGTGGGAGATTGGTACTACTGGTACCACCCAGAAACTCAGGCATGTGACACTTCCAGGCAAAACAAGTACAGCCAACCCAGAGCCATCCAAGTTAACATTTGCTGGACCTACCATAGCCTGGGTACTTACCCAGGGACAATCACACACCTAAGAGTCCCAACCAGCACCAGCTCCCAGGCAGGCCCAACAGGTCTCTATTATACACTAGGGCTTTCCTCTGGCATCTCCTCCAGCAGCACCACACAATGGCTGCCCCTCCAAAAGCCCCAAAACAGACCCATGGGCACAACAAGGGGGGGGCACAAAGTACTTGCTCATTCCAAAGTAAAAGCACCAGATAGCAATACACCCCACTGAAAGAACCAGGCAATCCACCAGCTGCCCAGCTAAGCAGCCACAGGAACCCTCATGAGCTCTGAGGGGTTGGGGAGACTGATCCCAAGCACAAGACTCACCTGGGGATCCCTATACAACTTACCTGCTCAGTGAGAATCAGCTGTAGAATACAAGGGCCCTTTCATGCACCCCAATTGGGTAGTAGCCTTGGGAAGAAATCCAGAGACTTTGGCACAGTGTTAGCCAAAAGGCAGGTGGGGCCTGGTGGTGGCAAAGGC